GTAGGGCTCACCGAGGCCATAGGGCTCCGAGGTCCTGGGGCGGCCATGGCGGTCATAGGGTTCAGGCCGCGTCGGCTCGCGCGACGGATGCGACCAAATCGACGCCGTGATCAGACAGGGGCGATGGATGTTTTTGGGCACCCGTGTGATGCGAGTGACGGCGGAGCAATCGAATGCGACGTGGTGCCTGGCATTCGCTCGGCTGCGTTGCACGGCCGGATCGCGCGTGCGAGTACGGTCGGCCAGGGCACTCACCTGGAGGAGGGGCGCTTCCGGACCGCCATCTTCCTCGCGGCCGTGGACTTGTCGGGCTTCGCCTTCCCCACCGCCGTGTTCTTCGTGGCTTTCGTGGTCTTCGCGTCGCCAGCGATGACGGGTGACGAGGTCGTCGCAGCCCCGGGGTGGACGGTCTCCGTGGTGATGATGCTCGGGTACTGGGAGGCGTATTTCATGATGGCCTGCACGGCGGCTTTGTGCATGTTGCTGGCTACCTTCACGTGGACATTGGTGAGCTCATTGATGCTGAACCTCGCGCCTTGGAGGGTCGTCCCTGTCCGCTGGATCTTGACGCGATTATTGAGTACCTCGGCGGTCGCTTGCCACGCGGCTTTGTTGTCCTGAGCTGGCACTTCCACCTTCGCCTTCAAGAACGCTTTGTCGAGCAGCGCAACTGCGTGGTCGGCCACGTGTTTCTGAGAGGTTGCTGCCGTTGGAGCTGTCGTCCCGTACGTTGTTTTGACGTAGGTCCAGCTGATGTTCAAGAACGGGTTTGTGCTCGAGCCTGGTGGCAGCAGACTCTCCGTGGCGGTGACGGTGCCGCGGGGGGCGTTTGGGAGAGCCATCGTGTCTTTCGGGCGGCTGGCGAGGGTAGACAATCCGTGGTTGTATGCTGGCTTGCCGGCCCGGACGCTCGCCATGTCGGCGATCACGAGCCTTCCACCAGCGTTCTTCTGGGCCCCGACGTCGATGGGTTCGAGGGACACGAGGAGCGTGTATAGCGTCGCACGGTCCCCGCCACTGCGCGACTGTGTCGTTGGGGCGGAGGTCGCGGCTGCTCTGAGGTGGATCGGATCCAGACGGATGTTCGACTGGGTCTTCTTGCTCGCCTTCATGGTGCTGAGCTTCGGGGCCATGCCGTCGAAATGTAGCGGCGGCCGTGTACAACGGGTGGATGTCCGCTTGAGCCGGGAATGGGCTGTGATGATGAAGATGATGATGATGATGATGATGATGCTGCTGATGATGGTGATGATGATGATGTCGCTGGTGATGACGACGACGATGACGGAGATGGTGCGGTCGATGCTGAAGTCAGAAGGATGCAATGACAATGAAGATGATGAGTATGATGGTGATGATGAAGGGGATGATGATGACGATGCTGATGAAAATTGTGATTCCTGCCTGCGCGACAGCGTGGCGCATCAGAGGTTTTGGTGGGCTCATGGGGGATAGGGGCTCATGGGCCTCACAGGGCTTAGAGGGCTCACAGGGCTCATCGGGCTGATGGTCGTAGAGGTCGTGGGGTTTTAGGGCTCATAGGGCTCAAGGGGCCCGTGGGGCTCTGAGGGCTCGTACGGCTCGCAGGGCTCGTAGGGCTCGTAGGGCCTTTGCGGCTCTTGGGGCACGTGGGGCTGATGGACTCGCAGGGCCCATGAGGGTCGTAGGGCTCATAGGGCTTCCAGGGCCCGTAGGGCTCATAGGGCTCATGGGGCTCATGGGGTGTCGGCGACTCATGGGGCTCAATGGGCTCATAGGGCTCATGGGGCTCACGGGGCTGATGGGGCTCATAAGGTTCATACGGGTCGTAAATGTCCAGTGGTTCGTGGGGCGCGTAGGGCCCGGAGGGCTCGTAAGGCTCGTGGGGCTCGGAGGGCTCATGGGGGTCATAGGGCTTATAGGGCGTTCGGGGCTTGCAGGGCTCTTGGGGCGCTTAGGGCTCGTAGGGCTCGTAGGGCTAATGGGCTCACGGGGCTGATAGGGCTCAGAAGGGTCTTGGGGCTTGTGGGGCTCATATTGGTCGTATGGCTCGTGGGTTTCGTAGGGCTCATAGGGCTGATGGGGCTCGTGGGGGTCGCAGGGCTCGTACGGCGCGTAGGGCTCATAGGGCTCGTTTGGCTCGTGGGGCTCTTGGGGCTTATAGACTCGGAGGGCCCATGGGGGTCGTGAGCTCATAGGGCTCCCCAGACCTGTAGGGCTCATAGGGTTCACGGGGTCATGGTGCTCGGAGGGCTTATAGGGGTCTCGGAAGGCTCATGGGGCCCAATGGGGTCGTAGGGCCCATGGGGCTCACGGGGGTGAGGGAGCTCATAGGCTCGTACGGGTCATAGGTCTCCTGGAGTTCATGGGGCGCGTAGATCTCAGAGGGCTCGTAGGGCGCGTAGGGCTCGTACGGCTCATGGGGTCATAGGGCTAATAGAGGATTCCTGATAGAGCCTACGGCGCTTGTAGGGCTCCTATGGCGCATAAAGCTCGTAAGGCTCGTAGGGCTCGTCGAGCTCATGGGTTCACGGGGCTGATGGACCTCAGAAGGGTCATGGGGCTCGTGGGCCTCATATTGGTCGTAGGGCGTGTGGGTTCGTAGGGCTCGTAAGCTCATGGGGCGCGTGGGGGCCACAGGGCCACGCACGGCTTGTAGGGCCCACAGGGCTCGCAGGGCTCGTGGGGTCTCATGGGGCCCGTAGTGCTTATAGGGCCCATAGGGCTCATAGGGCTCATGAGGCTCAGATGGCTCATAGGGCTCAGCAGGCGCATGCGGGTGTCGTAAGGCTCATGAGGCTTGTTGGGCTCACAGGGCACTTCGGGCTCGTAGGGCTCATAGGGATTGTGGTGCCCATGGGGCCGACGGGGCTCATAGGGCTCATGGGGCTCATCAGGGTTGCAGGGCTCATAGGTCTGCTGGGCCTCACCGGGCTCGTGGGGCTTTTCGGGCGCATGGGGTAAAGGGCTCATCGGGTTCATGGGGCTAACAGGGCTCCTGGGGCTCGCAGGGTCGTAGGACTCGTAGGGGTCGTAGGCTCATTGGGGTCATGAGGCTCGCGCGGCCCGTAGGGCTCATGGGACTTATGGGGCTCATAGTGCTGACAGAACTGACGGGGAATGTAGGGCTCATAGGGGTCATAGGCCTCGTAGGGCTCATAGGGATCGTAATTAGGGCTCATAGGGTTCCCGGGGCTCACTGGGCAGAAAAATGTCATAGGGCTCATGGGGCCTCATGTGGCCCGTAATGCTCATAGGGCTCATGGGGGTCATAAGGAGTCGTACGGGTCATAGGGCTCGTAGGGCTCATACGGGTCATAAGGCTGACAGGGCCCATAAGATTTAGTGGGCTCATAGACCGCATGGGGGTCATCCGGGGTTATACGGGTCATGAAGCTCGTGGGGCTCATAGGGATCATAGGGCGCATGAAGTCAGTCGTGCCGGTAGCTGCCTCCTCCTCCTCCTCCTCATCCTCCTCGTTCTCTGGTTGTTGTTTTTGTCTCTCTCTGTCTGTCTCCATCTCTCTCTCTCTCTCTGTCTGTGTGTCTCTCTCACTCTCTCCCTCTCTCTCTCTCTCTCTCTGCATAGTATACGCACATGCATGTGTATATATATATATATATGTTTGTCTCGCTCTCTCTCCCTCTCTCTCTCTCTCTCTCTCTCTCTTCATCACTCTTGCCAAGTATATCCAAGGAGACGTGGGGGCCAACAGGAGAGCATGCACCCAATGATGTTGGCTCGTGTGCAGACTGTTGCAACGCGGATCGCTTCAGACGGCAATGGCAATCGATCAATACATTTTTGGGGGGCCATGGAGGGTGCCGGGATCGCTGACAGCGAAGCGGAGCCGGACGGTGAAACGAGGTGAAACAGGGACTGTTGGTGAGAAGCGCGGCAGGGTGGCAAAAAGGACGGAGTGGCGCTCGTGGGGCGTCTTCGGCCCATAGGGTTGACACGGGTCATAGGGGTCATAGGGCTCATAGGGCTCATGGGGCTCGTAGGGCTCATGGGGCGCACACGAACTTATTGAGGTCGTAGGGCTCGTGTCACTCGTAGGGCTCATAGGGCTCGTAGGGCTCACGGGGCTCATACGGCTGATGGGGCTCACGGGGCTCGTACGTCTCATGGGGGTGATGTGGCGTGTGCGGCGCATAGGGCTCATATGCCTGGTAGGGCTCATCGGGCTCATAAGGGGCTCATAGGGCTGATGGTGCTAATGGGGCCGTGGGGCTCAGGGCTCATGGGGCTGACAGGGCCCAGAGGGCTCGGAGGGTTCGTACGGCTCATCTGGGTCACACCGGTCGCAGAGCTCATAGGGCGCATCGGGGTCATAGGGCGCATCGAGCTCGAAGGGCTCATGGGGCTCGTACGGCTCATTAGGCTCATGGGGCCCATGGGGGCCATAGGGCTTGCAGGGCTCAAGGGTCCACAGGGGGTTTGGGGCTGATGGGGTTCACGGGGCTCACGTGGGTTATCGAGCTCATAGGGCTTTTAGGGTTCATGCGGCTCGAAGGGCTCATGGTGCTCGTAGGGCTCGTGGGGCTCATTGGACTCATAGTGGCCGTAGGGTTCGTAGGGGTCTACGGGCTCACAGGGCTCATAAGGAGCATAGGGCTTATAGAATTCATAAGGCTCACAGGGCTCAAGGGGCTCGAGGGCTCATAGGCTCATAGGGCTCATCGTGGTCAGGGGGCTCATAGGGCCCATAGGGTTCGTAGGGTGTGGGGGGGGGGGATCATTGGTGTCATTGGGCAGGGGAGGGCGCAAAGAGGCGTGACACGGGGGATGAACGGGGCCGCGGGGTGCAAGCTGAGGAGAGGCTAGAGGAGGGGAAGGAACGGTCTCGCGGGGAGGAGCGTCGGAGAGAGGAATTGTTCATGCGGCTGCGGGCCGCTTTCGGCCCGCATTCGGCGCTGAGGACGCTGGGCGTTTACGCAATTGCCTGGACGAGGAAGTGCCTTCGCTTTGCTCGGCGGGGTTCGCGTCGAGTAGTATGTCGGACACACGTCGTTTTCGTTCAGGGCGTGGCCTGCGGGAGACAGGCGAAGCGGCAATCGGGCGGCAAGCACCCTGATAGTGCTGCGGGAGTGCACTCGACCGAGAGCGACGTAGAGGTGCCCATGGGAGAAGGGGCTTTTCCTGACATCCACCACGCACCTTGTGAGCGTGGAGCCTTGGGAGCCGTTGAACGTTGACGCGTCGGCGGGGCGCAACGGGAATTGCCTGCGGCACATCACGGCGGTGCCGCGCGCGAGAGACCAGCGGAAGCATATCCGCGGCAAAGGGAATTGACGTCCGTCCAAAGTTTCCACCAGAACATGCCGGTCGTGCACTTTCCGGAGCAGGACGGGCGCATGGTTCATGAGCCGGTCGGTTGGGCTGAAGTTCCGCATTAATTCGTAGAGCACGCCTTCGACCAGCGCCAAGTGGTGGGGCGGCACGCCGTGTTCGTCCTGCATGTTCAGAAACTCCATAGTTACGTGGGATTCAATCTCGCACTCCGACCCATCGACGTCGAGGGAGTCGGCACTGCAACGGGTGAACCTGGTCAGTCGGTATGTTTGCACCAATGTTTCCAGTACTGTGGAATTGATGGTGTTCACGACGTCGTTCGTGGTAGCCATAATCTTCGACTTGGCGCAGTCGTGCGGGTCGTTGAGGTGCGGGAAAGCGAACTGTATGGCAGCGGCGTCGTCGGGCACGAGGTCGCAGAGAGACAATTCGACGTAACCTGGTTCGTCAGCCAACCGGTGCGTAGCGGGCGCGGTGCCGTTCCCGACGGTCTCAATCCAGACGGCGTATTTGGGATCGACGCTTTGTCGATGGCTGGTGCGAAGCTCAAACGTGGTGAAGTTGGACCAGGAGGGAGACTGACGGACGCTCATGTTCACGATGCTCTGTCGGGTGGCCCCCTTGACGACGGGGGGGATTTGGCGGAAGTCACCGTGGCAGACGAATGTTTTCTGCACGTACGAATCGGGGAACGCCGTCCGCAGGTCGGCGAGCAAACGAAGGACGGCCTCCCAGGAAGTCCGCTTGGCCGACGGCCATTCGTCCCACTGGATCAAAGCCGAGCGGGCGAGGTCCGCGGCCTGCTGCGTCTGCATTCCCAGCGAGCATGCGACGGCGTCTTCGTCGGTCAATGGAATCTTGAACACGGAGTGAGCCGTAGCACCGGCTGGCAGTTGGAGAGCTGCGACCCCAGTGGTGGCGACGTTGACGACGTACTTTCCCAGCGTTTCAGTCTCCGCAGTGACGTAAGTTGCCAATGTCGATTTGCCGCTGCCCGCGCGGCCGTGCACGAATACGAGCACCGCCAAGAGTGACCCCAAACGCAAACGTCATCTGGTTCCCCTGCGTAAAATGCACACGTTTGTCATACACGACTTTTGAGGAGGCCCCCCACGACCGCTGCAAGACGGCCCCAGAGGCCCTCGAGAAGGCCCCAAGGCAACCCAAGAGGGCCCCATGACGGCCTGAGAGGGGGGAGCACGAACCGAAAATCCGAGCCTTCCGCCCCGAGGGGGCACCCAGAGGGGCCCCAACAGGCACCCCAAAAGGGCCCCCAAGAGGCCACCACGAGGCCCCAGCAGGCCCCCAAGAAGCCCAAAAGGTGCACCAAGAGGCCCCGACACAGCCCCCCAGAGGTCTCCAAACTGCCCCCATGAAGCCCCCGAGAGGCCTCGACGAAGTCCAAGGAACATCCAAGAGGCATCTGACCCACAATCCAGGTTCGGTGGCGGTATGGGCCGAAGGCCACTCATCTATATATATATATATATATATACACATACATACATACATACATACATACATACATACATACATACATACATACATACATACACACACACACACATACATACATACATACATACATACATACATACATACATACATACATACATACATACATACATACATACATACATACATTTATACACACATATATACATATATATATATATATAGATCCAAGATTTTACCGGCTCGCTGCGCTTCGCCTTTAAAATCTTGGTCGCAAGGCGCCAGAGGGGCGCGATGGTATCGGTCGTCGTCACAGCCGGGAGGAGCTCGGAGCAGCCAGATCATGGAGCAAACTGGGCAGAGAAGGCCCCCGGAACTCTCGCGGCTGGGACTCGCGGTGTCCGTAGGGCTCATGGACCTCAGGGGGGTCCTCAAGCGCATAGGGCGCAAAGAGCTCGTTAGGTTCATGAGGCTCAAGGAACTCAGAGAGCTCACTGAGCTCTCGTAGTGCTCTTCAACCTCATTGGGCTCATAGGGCTCGTTGGAGTAATACGGTTCATGGAGCCCGTAGGGCTCATGGGGCCCATGGGGCTCATAGTGCTCATGCGGCCCATGGGGAGTATAAGGCTCATGGGGCTGACGGGACTCATAGGAGGCACGGGTCTCGTAGGGCTCATAGGGCTACTGGGACTCATAGGGTTTATAGGCGCCATAAGACCCATAAGACTCATCGGGCTCATGGGGCTCATGGGGGTCGTAGGGCTCATGGGGTCTAGGGGTTGTGGGACTCATAAGGGTCATCGGGCTCAATGAGGCTCAGAGGGCCCATGGGTCCCTCGGTGCTGCTACGGGCACACGGGGGTCACAGGGCTTATAGGTCTCATGAGTGCTCGCTGGGCTCATACGGCTCATGGGGCTCATCGGGCCCATGAGCTCGGGGGCCTCATATGGTTCGTAGGGCTCATGGGGCTCATAAGGCTCGGGGCCTCATTGGGGTCAGAGGGCTCGTAGGGCTCATCGGGCGTGCAGGGCTCATGCGGCTTCATGGGCTCATAGTGCTCATGGGGCTCATGGTCCCATAGGGTTCCTAGGGTTCATGGGGCTCACTGGGCTCATAGAGCTCATGGGGCTCATGGGACCATAGGGTTTATAGGGTTCATGGGGCTCATAGAGCTCATGGGGCTCATAGACCTCATAAAGCCCATGGGGCTCATAGGGCTCATAGGGGTCGTAAGGCTCATGTGGCTCACAGGTGCTCGCGAGGCTCGCCGGGGTCATAAGGCCATAGGGCTCGTAGGGCTCACCGAGGCCATAGGGCTCCGAGGTCCTGGGGCGGCCATGGCGGTCATAGGGTTCAGGCCGCGTCGGCTCGCGCGACGGATGCGACCAAATCGACGCCGTGATCAGACAGGGGCGATGGATGTTTTTGGGCACCCGTGTGATGCGAGTGACGGCGGAGCAATCGAATGCGACGTGGTGCCTGGCATTCGCTCGGCTGCGTTGCACGGCCGGATCGCGCGTGCGAGTACGGTCGGCCAGGGCACTCACCTGGAGGAGGGGCGCTTCCGGACCGCCATCTTCCTCGCGGCCGTGGACTTGTCGGGCTTCGCCTTCCCCACCGCCGTGTTCTTCGTGGCTTTCGTGGTCTTCGCGTCGCCAGCGATGACGGGTGACGAGGTCGTCGCAGCCCCGGGGTGGACGGTCTCCGTGGTGATGATGCTCGGGTACTGGGAGGCGTATTTCATGATGGCCTGCACGGCGGCTTTGTGCATGTTGCTGGCTACCTTCACGTGGACATTGGTGAGCTCATTGATGCTGAACCTCGCGCCTTGGAGGGTCGTCCCTGTCCGCTGGATCTTGACGCGATTATTGAGTACCTCGGCGGTCGCTTGCCACGCGGCTTTGTTGTCCTGAGCTGGCACTTCCACCTTCGCCTTCAAGAACGCTTTGTCGAGCAGCGCAACTGCGTGGTCGGCCACGTGTTTCTGAGAGGTTGCTGCCGTTGGAGCTGTCGTCCCGTACGTTGTTTTGACGTAGGCCCAGCTGATGTTCAAGAACGGGTTTGTGCTCGAGCCTGGTGGCAGCAGACTCTCCGTGGCGGTGACGGTGCCGCGGGGGGCGTTTGGGAGAGCCATCGTGTCTTTCGGGCGGCTGGCGAGGGTAGACAATCCGTGGTTGTATGCTGGCTTGCCGGCCCGGACGCTCGCCATGTCGGCGATCACGAGCCTTCCACCAGCGTTCTTCTGGGCCCCGACGTCGATGGGTTCGAGGGACACGAGGAGCGTGTATAGCGTCGCACGGTCCCCGCCACTGCGCGACTGTGTCGTTGGGGCGGAGGTCGCGGCTGCTCTGAGGTGGATCGGATCCAGACGGATGTTCGACTGGGTCTTCTTGCTCGCCTTCATGGTGCTGAGCTTCGGGGCCATGCCGTCGAAATGTAGCGGCGGCCGTGTACAACGGGTGGATGTCCGCTTGAGCCGGGAATGGGCTGTGATGATGAAGATGATGATGATGATGATGATGATGCTGCTGATGATGGTGATGATGATGATGTCGCTGGTGATGACGACGACGATGACGGAGATGGTGCGGTCGATGCTGAAGTCAGAAGGATGCAATGACAATGAAGATGATGAGTATGATG